ACTTTACATGAACACTCTCCCAGCATTATCTTACTGTTCTGTCATATGTATAAACACTTTAAAACGCATTCCAATATGTTTATTCTATCTATATACAAAGTACTATGTGTAGACTATATGTTTTACCATACTCTTATGCATGTATGCTTATATATGTGACTGTGCATTTATATTTGTGTATATGAGTTCATGTGCATGTATGTATATGTGTTTATGTATATGTACATGTGTTTGTGCGTTAACATATCCATATTTATGTGTGTGTGCATGGATAAAGTGTACCATCCTCTGCACTGTCTGCTTGTTTGTTTTTCTTCTCCCTCTCTCCCCCTTCACTCTGCTCTTCAGAAAGATATTTATGACCCTCTGCAAAAATGGTGTCTATTTTCTAACAAACCTGTGTCTTATCTGCACTCATGTCGCTTTAACCCCTGTATCACAACTCAACTTTGAATTCTATGTATCGTCTTGCTCAGAAATGCTTCAGACTTGAGAAAGGGAGGTTCTCCCGAAAGCTTGTCATTAAAAAATTCTGTTAGTCCAATAAAAAAGGTATTACAAGATAAGAATTTTATCTGTTTTTTACATCTACATCACTGGACTAATACGGCTACAATCTCTACTTGAACACTATATATATATATATATATATATATATATATATATATATATATATATATATATATATATATATATATATATATATATATATATATCCATCCAAAATAGGCAGGAGCACTCAATTGTTAAAAGTCCAAAATTTATTAGAACATTTTTAAAAAACAATCAACGTTTCAGTCCTGCATAGAGGACTTTCATCAGGATCAAAGACAAATGGATTAGAAACAATCATTACTTATATACACAAAGATATCTACATAATTGACCCCCAGGTGAAAAGCTGTGTGAAACCGGCATCCTGCCATTCCCAGTGCGCATGCGCAAATAAGCTCTGCCCCCAAAATGACATAATTGCGTGTTGACGTCTGAACCGTCTCCATGGCGACGCAAATAGTTACAATTTCGCCATGGAGACTATATAAACACAGGGGGAAACGAGCAGTGAATATAATGCCTATGTTGGATCAAAAACTGAATTAGTGTGATCCAGTGGACGAATGGTGTGTTGTGAAAATTGTGGCATAAGTGCTGTGGTTATATAAGTAGTGGAGATAGAGTACCACTATAATATTGCTAAAAGGGCTAGTGGTACATATTTAAAGTGACAGGCTTGCATTAGGAAAAGTGCATAATTGCTATAATTAACAATAACCTTATGATTCTCAATGTTTAAGCAAAGTGACTAGTGCATATGGAAACAGTTAAAGTGCTGGTGAAAAATCCAGTGCAGATAAAAAGTATATATATATATATATATATATATATATATATATATATATATATATATAGAGGATGATGGGAGTTGCACTCCAGCTCTCCTTAGTTATTGCCCGGTGCTCGGCTGCACAAATGTATAACTTTCAAAAAAGAGTCAGCACTCAAGGACTTGCAATATGCTAAAAAATGCAAAAAACCTTTTAATCCAGTTGGTAAAGAGGTCAACGTTTCAGTCCATCGTCGTGGACTTTCATCAGGACATAAATGACAAAATACAACATTCAGTTTAAATAAGAGAGAGCTAACTTACCAAACCGTCCCCACCTGTGTGCCGGCGTGGTCTGTTCCCCAGTGCGCATGCGTGTCACTCCGCTCATCTACTTCCGGTGCCAAAGTGCAGCCTACCCGTCACCCTAGCAACCTGTAAACAGATCGCAAAAAACAGCGATCCGTGGACGCATATTAAAAGTGCCCAGTGCTGTGATATCAACTTAATATTCATGTAAAGCTGGCAACTAACACAGCCTGCAAATCAATTCATATTCTCTTATTTACAATGTATTTTTATTGATATAGTGAGAGCAATGTGATCTATTTGTATGAGTGTACATCATCATATGTACTAGCAAAGTGTAATGGAAGGAGGTAAAGGTTAATTAACCTCATATAAAAAAAGTGCAAGTGCTCAAAATAAAAAACTAACAGTGATGATAAAGTGACATGTGCAAATATATACATTCTATCTAATATTTGAGTAAGTGAACACACTCTATTGCTATGGGGTTACAGTGTTATATAATACAAGATCACTACCTAAATAATAAATATAATAACATGTCTTCTGCTGTTTAACAGCACCATTCCCAAATTTCAAAATTTAGAGACAAAATATTATTTATATACAATTGTGTCCCTATTAAATTACAGATAGATACTGAAGAGTGGAAAAAAACACCCTCCCTTGAGAAAATCTAAATACCACATATAAATATATGCCTATATCTTAATCCATATCAAATGTACTGGGAATGTATGCTGCAAACATATTTGCAGACAAACATATGATAATAAAATCAATATGATAATTTATCCAACCACTTAAATAAATTATGTAAATGCCAATTTTTCATTAAGGCCCATAGGGGCCATAGTGTTTAATTCACGAATCTAAAATGTCTCTCTCTGCAACAATGCCTTAGAGCGATCTCCTCCTCTTCTAGATATTGGAATGTGGTCAATGGCTATACATTTTAATGATGTCAATGGATGTTTATATTCAAAAAAGTGACGAGCCACCGGTTTATCCGTACTGCCATCTCTGATCGCCGTGCGTATACTTGAGCGATGTCCCCTTATTCTTTCGCACAATTGTGTATCCGTTTTCCCAACGTAGTGTAGTCCGCACGGACATGACAGTTTGTAAATAACATGATCTGTTTTACAAGAAATGCGTTGTTTAATTATGTATTTCTTCTGGGTGTGTGGATGTAAAAAAGACTTTGTGGGGATAAGGTGCCCACAAGTCACACATCCTAGACAACGAAAACAACCTGGGTTGAGAAATTTATTCTGATTCCGCAGATAACTCTGTTCCGGATCATTGCGGACTAACAAGTCTCGCAAGTTTTTCTCCCTCTTGTAACATATCATTGGACTTTGAGAGAATATTGTAGGCAGAGTTGGATCTCCCGTAAAAATATTCCAGTTCCCCTGAACAGCTTGAACAAGTTTGGAACTAGCAGAATTGAATTTCATTGGAAAAGTCAATCTTGTTGTCCTTGTTTGTTGCTGTACATTCACAGTGTTCACCATTTCCATTCTTGCTTTATCTAAAGCTGCATCAAGTATATACCGATTGTATCCCCTCATGAGGAATTTATTATACATGCTATCCACTTGATTTTCAACCCGTTCAACCGATTAATTATTCCGAAATACTCTTAAAAATTGAGTGTATGGTAAGGATTTCTTACTGTGTTCAGGATGTGCACTTTCAAAGTGCAGTATGGTGTTTCTATCAGTAGGCTTTGAATAAAGCTGATACTCTATTTTGTTATCTTTAATGAGAATCTCCAAATCCAGATACTGTACCATTGTATCACTGATGTTTGCCGTGATTTTAACAGGACTGGGGAGGCAGTTGACATTCTTCACGAATTGCTCAGCCTCGGCTATTGAGCCTTTCCACAGAATCAAAATATCATCGATAAAGCGCACATATTGTATGATTCGTTCTCTGTATGGATGTAAGATGTGTTCTCTCTCAAAAATATGCATGTATGCATTCGCATACATCGGCGCCATCGCCGCACCCATCGATGTTCCTGAGCATTGCATATACCATCGGGTTTCGAATCTGAAGTAATTTAGTTGGAGTGTTAGCATAAGCAATTCCATGACAAATCAAGTGGATAGCATGTATAATAAATTCCTCATGAGGGGATACAATCGGTATATACTTGATGCAGCTTTAGATAAAGCAAGAATGGAAATGGTGAACACTGTGAATGTACAGCAACAAACAAGGACAACAAGATTGACTTTTCCAATGAAATATAATTCTGCTAGTTCCAAACTTGTTCAAGCTGTTAAGGGGAACTGGAATATTTTTACGGGAGATCCAACTCTGCCTACAATATTCTCTCAAAGTCCAATGATATGTTACAAGAGGGAGAAAAACTTGCGAGACTTGTTAGTCCGCACTGATCCGGAACAGAGTTATCTGCGGAATCAGAATAAATTTCTCAACCCAGGTTGTTTTCGTTGTCTAGGATGTGTGACTTGTGGGCACCTTATCCCCACAAAGTCTTTTTTACATCCACACACCCAGAAGAAATACATAATTAAACAACGCATTTCTTGTAAAACAGATCATGTTATTTACAAACTGTCATGTCCGTGCGGACTACACTACGTTGGGAAAACGGATACACAATTGTGCGAAAGAATAAGGGGACATCGCTCAAGTATACGCACGGCGATCAGAGATGGCAGTACGGATAAACCGGTGGCTCGTCACTTTTTTGAATATAAACATCCATTGACATCATTAAAATGTATAGCCATTGACCACATTCCAATATCTAGAAGAGGAGGAGATCGCTCTAAGGCATTGTTGCAGAGAGAGACATTTTGGATTCGTGAATTAAACACTATGGCCCCTATGGGCCTTAATGAAAAATTGGCATTTACATAATTTATTTAAGTGGTTGGATAAATTATCATATTGATTTTATTATCATATGTTTGTCTGCAAATATGTTTGCAGCATACATTCCCAGTACATTTGATATGGATTAAGATATAGGCATATTTTTTATATGTGGTATTTAGATTTTCTCAAGGGAGGGTGTTTTTTGCCACTCTTCAGTATCTCTCTGTAATTTAATAGGGACACAATTGTATATAAATAATATTTTGTCTCTAAATTTTGAAATTTGGGAATGGTGCTGTTAAACAGCAGAAGACATGTTATTATATTTATTATTTAGGTAGTGATCTTGTATTATATAACACTGTAACCCCATAGCAATAGAGTGTGTTCACTTACTCAAATATTAGATAGAATGTATATATTTGCACATGTCACTTTATCATCACTGTTAGTTTTTTATTTTGAGCACTTGCACTTTTTTATATGAGGTTAATTAACCTTTACCTCCTTCCATTACACTTTGCTAGTACATATGATGATGTACACTCATACAAATAGATCACATTGCTCTCACTATATCAATAAAAATACATTGTAAATAAGAGAATATGAATTGATTTGCAGGCTGTGTTAGTTGCCAGCTTTACATGAATATTAAGTTGATATCACAGCACTGGGCACTTTTAATATGCGTCCACGGATCGCTGTTTTTTGCGATCTGTTTACAGGTTGCTAGGGTGACGGGTAGGCTGCACTTTGGCACCGGAAGTAGATGAGCGGAGTGACACGCATGCGCACTGGGGAACAGACCACGCCGGCACACAGGTGGGGACGGTTTGGTAAGTTAGCTCTCTCTTATTTAAACTGAATGTTGTATTTTGTCATTTATGTCCTGATGAAAGTCCACGACGATGGACTGAAACGTTGACCTCTTTACCAACTGGATTAAAAGGTTTTTTGCATTTTTTTAGCATATTGCAAGTCCTTGAGTGCTGACTCTTTTTTGAAAGTTATATATATATATATATATATATATATATATATATATATAATTTTTAAAAATTATTTTTATTTATATATAGGTATATATATATTTATATATAGTGATATATACGTATATACTTATGTATATAGATATACATATATACTTATGTATATAGATATACATATTATTTCATTCTACATGTATTTTGATATCAATATATATTAATTTTAAAATACAGTTAGAACAAATTTACACATATATATATTTTTTATTTATTTATTTTTTATTTATCTATTTATTTATTTTTTACATATTTACATATTCATCTATTTTATATTATATATAAATATATATATAATGAAAATTATATATATATTTAATATTATTGCACGTGTATTATATATAATGAAAATTATATATATTAATATTAAAATACACTTAGACAGACAGTGTATGTGTATGTATGTATATGTGTATATATATACTTAGATCGTATATATAATAAATATATATATATGATCTAAGTATATATTTTATTTTAAACTTTATCTTTAACGTTTTTATTAAAAAATTTTAAGGCAGCAGCGGGAGTACCTGTCATTACAGACTCTCCCCCTGCTGGCATTGCTATGGACGGCGTGATTACATGGCCCAGGGGGGCTGAAGAGAAAGGAGGGGGACTCCCTGGGCTCCCAGATGAGTACCCACACTGCGATCGCCGGTGTGGGATCGCCGGCAACCGGGTAAGTTATAGGACGGCTTGGGCATTCTATGCCGCCCGCCGGTGTTTAGAGCCGGTTCCCCAAGGACCGCATAGAACGCCCGCCATCCTTAAAGGGTTAAAGGACCATTCCACACCTATAAAGTACTTCAGCTTGCTGAAGTGATTTATGGGTGAAGAGTATCCCATAATAATGACAGTTTATCAAATTGCCAATTTCTATAAGAAAACCGGCACTTTTATAACTAATTATTTAAACATCCCCCTGGCTGTCAAGCAAACATCCAGCGGGGTTTCTTCCTGCTTGAGCGAGCGGACCTCCCAGTTGCATACCTCAGATCAGACCAGATCAGTATGCTGTAAATGCACACGCATGAACAGGCATGTCCATGTGCATTGAGGGAGACCTTCAGAGGCTTCTCAATGAGAAACCTCTCATAGGCTATTACTGAAAATCTCCTCTTAGGAAAAAGGGCAGAGCTTACAAAGGCTTTTGCAAACTGTTTTAAGATATACCGCCAATAAATGCAAACATGATAAAGAATGCATGTATTTATTGGGGTATATCTACAAAACAGTGATTTCTGCCCATTTGGGCAGTGGGTGTTGTTTTAAGGTAATGCTCCTATTTTATCTAAACAGTACAAAAATACACTCCGTGGCAAAAATCTAGGTTACTATTTAGAAATCATTTTAGTATTAACTGGTCACTATGGAGGTGCTTAGATAAACTGTAAATAATAAAAAAGAACATTTATCCTATGTTTGGGCCTATGCAATTGCCTAACCATTGATACATTTAGCCTAACTATGGATAAATTTAGCCTGCTGCAAAAGTGTCTTATTTAATATTATGCGATATGCTCTGTGAGATTTGGACTTCCTAAAAATAATTATGTTTGTGAAATGGTCTAATTATAATTAAAAATTAATACAGTTCTTTGACTCTGAATTTTCGTTGTATCTCCTGTCAAACAATATAACTTTAGGCAGTGATTGGATTGTATTTTCTAGGTTATATTATTCTAATTCTTAGTTCAATTGGCTAAATTATATGCACAGACTTAATTCGATCCAGACAACTTGGAACCCTGTTCAAATTTATGCCAGGTTTCCTTTTGCCAGAGATTTTTTCACTTTGCGTTCATCTACAAGACTGCCAACTGAAATAACGCTCCACGCTTCAACTTGTTATGAATCAGATCAAAGTGGAAAAGTCTTTTATCCCCATGTAGTTTAAGCCCTTACCTGTCAAAGTCCATTATTTCAAAGGAAATCGTATAATTTTAACAAGTATAAAACTTGAATACAAACTATAATCTTAGTCACAAACTTTTTGAGTTCCAACATTTATTTAAATAAATCAACACATAGTTCTAAATTTATCAGGAAGTTTGTTAAAATAGGCCAGAATGTAATAGCTGCTGTACATTCAAAAGTGCAATAACAACTTAAGAAAGTTTAGAAAAACATT